TTCCCTGTGTGCCTGCTGGGGATTTACTGGTGGCTCAAGCAGGGGACCCAAGAGGATGACTCCCTTTGGGAGCTCCTTTGGGGAGCTGATGTTTCCAGGTGTCTGTGCTGTGCCTGGAGCAGGAAGGAGAGGGTTTTTTTCCAGGAGGAGGGTGACCAGCTGTGTGGTGGTGGGTCCCAAATCCCAGTCCCTGTGCTGGGGGCCCCAGGGATGCTGAGGCTGAGCCCCAGCATCCAGGTTGTGCTGTCCCATGTAAGCTCAGCAAGAAGGAGCCTTTCTATTTATTCAGGTGCTCAGCTTAGGAGAGGGTTTTTTTTTTCCCAAGTTATGGGATTAAGTGTATGGCAAGGAGCAGTGTGTGGAGAAGAGAGTTTTTTTTTCCCCAAGTTATGGGATTAAGTGTGTGGCAAGGAGCAGTGTGTGGAGAAGAGACTGTGTGAGGCAATGCCCCAGTCTCACAGTTACCCCAAGCTGGTGGTGCAGAGGAGGCAAAATTAGGTGCATCATTAAAGGAGTTTAATTAGTGTTTGCTGGCAAAACAGAGCCTGGTTTGGGGCTGAAGGCAGCTCTGTGATCCCATCCCTGGGCAGGCAGCAGTGGGAAGGAAAGTGGAGCTGTGCTTTGTGGAGCTGGAGCAGTGTGGGCTGCTGGTGTGGAGCCAGGTGAAGGATGGGGAGGCCTGGACATGCTGGAGAGGGTGTTGAGCAGCACAGGAGAAATCCCCACGATTTGGGAGCAGAGAACAGTGTTCCTGCTCCTCTGCTGGTTGGGGTTGGCTTAGAGGGGCCTGGGGACAAGAGCCAGGGCTGGAGCTGGTCCAGAAAGCTGGGATGCTGCTTGTGCTGGCTGACCCCACCCTTCCCAAGGGAGAGGGTTTCCAAGGCAGGTTTCATCACAGACTGAGCCTGGCTTGGTTTCAGCCCTGATACAAAGCAGATGAACACTGTCCTCTCGGAGCCAGGGGGAGGGAGGCACAGCAGAGACCACAGCACCCTTTGTTTCTCCAGGGGGAACAACAACACCTCCAGGACTTGCTGCTGAAGGCTCTCACTCCTCTGCCTCCACAGCACCTTCCCAGGAGCTCTGGGGCAGTTGGGCCCTGAGCAGCAGCACGGGCAGTGTTTGTGCCAGGCACCATCCCTGGGTGTGCCTCATGTGTTCTGAGCTGCTGGGGTTTCTCGAGCAGGAACCCAACACCTTTGTTCCTTGTTCTGTCTGTGGTGTGCTCTGAATCCCACCACCTTTCCTTTCTCTGCCCTCTAACATCCTGGAACTCCTGACCTGGACCATCCAGGTGTGAGGCTACTGGTTTATCCAAACCCAGACAGCTCTGCTGGTGCTCGAGACGTTCCCAGCACGTGTCCTCAATCTGCTGGGAGCCTGTGCCTGGTGCTGTGCCCTTCTCCCCTTGATTTACTACTTCCTCATCTGCAGTTTTTAGCTAGGGAGTGGTCTGGCTCCTGGAGCTCCTCCTGTATCCAAATCCTGCAGGTTTGCCAAGCTGCATTGGGGCAGTTTGGGGTTCACTGGGAGCTGCTCCTCTGCTCCCAGTGCTGTGGGAGAGTTTGCAGCACACAACAGCATCTTGATAGCATCACCCCCTCCCAGCTCCAGCATGAATCCAGGCCCTTCCTGGCATCTTCCCAAGAGGGATTTGCTCCCAGCTAACAAAGAGGGGGAACACCCTTTAGGGGTGTGCTGGGGGCCTCGGTCGGTCCTGATCCGTGCAGAGCTCTGGGATGAGCAGTGACTTGGGGCAGCTGTCCTTGAGCCCATCCTGATGTGGAGCTGCAATCCTGTTTGAACAGGGTTTTTCTGGCTCTGTGTGGGGAGGAACTCTCAGGAAGAGCTCTGGTCTCCTGGCGTGGGGCCAGGGCTGTGCTCCCAGCGCCGCGATGCATGTGGGCTCCTGCTCCCTGGGCCTGAGCCTGTACAGAGTTGGATCACCCTCTGGATGGAGAAACACGGGATGTGTGTCAGGAAGAGCCTTTCCCCCTTGCTGGAGAGATGCAGGGAAGAGCTGTGGGCTTGGGAGGGAGACGAAGAGGCTCTCAAGCTGCTTTGGGGATTGCTCTTTGCTTCAAGCTCAGCTTCCTGCAGCTCCAGCCTGAGATTTATTGCTGCTGCTCCCAGAGAAGGGACTGCCCTTCCTCAAGAAGGAGCCTCTGGCAGGCGTGGATGTTCCCATCATGCCAGCAAACATCCCCCAGGATGTTCCAGCCTCCCACTGGACCGAGCTGACTGGGAGCAGAGCTGCCCAGTGCGCGTGGCTTGTGCCCTGACCCGGCGTGAACCACTAAACCACAGCCAGTCCTGGCCCTTCTGCAGCTCTGGCAGGGAGCAGAGACAAGCTGTTTGCTGTCCCCTTTCCAAAGGCTCTCCACAGGGAAGGCTGGAGCCCATCCAGCCTGTTTGAGCTTGCACGCTCTGCCCTTTGTCCACCCCACGGGCAGGGAGGGCACTGGGCAGCAGCTCTGCCCTGGGGAGGAGGAGCAGGCAGAGGGATGAGGCATGTTGGGCAGGGATAAGCTGAGCAAGGTCTCCTTGCTTTGAGCTGGTTTAATAAAATGTCCTGACTGTAAGCCCTCCTGCATCCTGCTGATTTCCAGGGCCTCCAGAAGGGGCTGGAGACAGGTTTCACCCCCAGCCCAGGCTGCAGGACTCTGGCTCAGCTGGAGGTTGAAGTCTGTGCTGTGTTTGGGATAGCTCCAAGGAGCCTTTTTGGGCAGGAGGTGAAGGGCTGAGGCTCCCCTGGCCAAGGGTGCAGACACTGGTTGAGCCAAGAGGCTTCTCTGTTAGCAGTTTGAGGGGAAAAAGCATCCATGTGGAGGGTTCTGCCCTCCCTTTCATGGCTCATCCAAGGGGTCAGGTCCCTGGTGGGCTGGAAGTCACTCCCCCAGCAGCTCAGCTGAGGCTGATGGCTCTCAGATGTTCGTGGAGGTGATGTTAGGCTTTAAGTGTGACAGATCTGTGCTGAACCTCTTCCT